TGCTAGGTGACATCATCAGTGGAGCCTCCGATGAAGTGACGTTATTCTACTCTGCTTGGAATTTATGCTATCCGGTCCGTTATGGCGAGTACTGTCATTTCCAGTTTTGATCTGTATGGGTTTATGTATGGGGTCCAATTCTATATGTTTGCTGAAAGTATGGGTGGAGAACCATGCCTTCATGAATTCCCATGCATGTCTATGTTTGGCTTGGGCTACTATGGTTACTAGGATAACAAGGTGTAGAGCTGGATGAACACAGCAGGCCAAGAAGCATCGTAGGAGCAGGATGCTGCTTGGCCTGCTGTGTTCATCCAACTCTACACCTTGTTATCTCAGATTCTCCAGCATCTGCAGTTCCTACTATCTATGGTTACTAGGAATCTCGTTGTCTCCTAAGAACACTAGGAATCATAAAAACCGAAAGAACTGCGGATGCTGTAAATCAGGAACAAAAACAAAGTTGCTGGGAATCATGGTGGCCCACAAGCCCACAGCCTCTCTACGACAAACATTTACAAGGATTAAAGACCCCATTCTCATAACATGCAGAACCAGCGTGGTTTACAAAATACCATGCAATAACTGCCACAAACATTACATCAGACAGATAGGAAGGAAACTAGCCATCAGAATACACGAACATCATCTAGCAGCAAAACAGCATGATGAACTCCCCTTAAAATCTGTACATTCAGACGATGAAGGCCATCAGTTTAACTGGGACAAAGTAACCATTGTAGTCAAACATAGACACGCACAGAAATTCCTAGAGGCATGGTTCTCCACCCATACTTCAAATCAACAAACATACAGAATTGGACTCCATACATAAACAGTTCAAAACTGGAAATGACAGTACTCACCATAACAGACCGGATAGTATAAATTGCAAGCAGAGTAGAATAACATCGCTTCATCAGAGGCTCCACTGATGATGTCACCTAGCGTGGTGACGAAATGTCTGAAGAAAAACAAGCCAGCTCGGCGAGCAAGTCAACAACCTCAAAGTGCACTATGACAGTAATCAAATTCAGTGAGTAAACTGGGAACACATAACTATGCAGCCTATGCCTGATAATTTAAACTTTTAAATGGAAAAATAAAATTTCACATGTGTTAGGCATCAACGTGAGACAGGGTGGGACTCCCAGCATTGGGATGTTAATCCCAGAATTAACATTCAGCTATGTTCTTTTCTGACCTGTCTCTGCTGGCTTCATCTGAGTGTTTCTCTTGATTGGTCCCTTCATTTAGTTTTGTAACACTTTCTTTAAACCTCCTTTGTGTTCTTTTTCTTAAAATCAATAATGCTGTGGTGGAAAAAAGACAGCTGCAATAGCCAAAATATTCTTTTACGTGTTGTTGGAAAATAGTGACCTAAGCAGTAGACTTTGAATTCTTGATCCCAATCATTTGTTCTTTCCCCAAAACATTCCTCTCTCCATTTGCACTAACTTCACCTTTCCACTGCCAATTTCTCTTCAAGCTCATTTCCAGTACAACTTTATTGTTCCCTTAAATGATTTGTTTAACCACTTAATCCTTCCTCCTTGATGTGCTATCACTCACTCTTAACCCAGTGTTTAATTGTTCCATTCCTCCGAGGCAGGTTTCGAGCCGCTACCCCCTCCCTCCCCATCCTCAATTAAATATCTCTCCTCCTCTCCCCCTTTATTATACTTCTCCCAAAGCTTTCCCTGGTTTTAAAATGAAAAACTTGACTTAATTATATTAAAATAAAGATGGAATCCACCTTACTGATCCTTTTCTTGTTCTCCCTTCATTTCACAGAAAGGCAGTGGATGTATTGGTAATGTCACTAAACTAATAATACAAAAGCCCAAGCCAATGTTCTAGGGACCTACATTTGAATTTAACAAAAATGTAGAATTAGGTGGCAACCATGTAACCAGTATTGACTATCATCAAAACTCATCTCATCCACTAATATCCTTCAAGCAAAGAAATCTGCCATCCTTGTCTTGTCTAGCCTACACAACTCTAGATTCATAGTAATATGTTGACTCTTAACTATCCTTTGGGCAATAAATATTGGCCAAACCAGTGCAGCAATGCCTACATTCCATGAACAAATGAAAAATAAATTCTGCTGTGGTATTGGCTAAAAACAGAACTCAAGCTACCAATTTTTTTTTTAAAAAACATGCGAGCAACAAAGTAACACAGCTCACCTCCAATGCAACGTCACACATCAGAACCGAGAGGCCTCGTTCACAGGTGAAAGGTGTTATTGTTAGCCTTTGTTAATCACAAGGTGCAGGTGAGGCAATTAGTAAGCTTCCAAATTTATTTGGAGAACTTTTCAACTGAAGTAACATTACGAAAACAAAGTCAAACATTTTCTTTCCTCAAATCTCTCTCACCCTATTGGCAGTCTCTTTTTAATCTTTGCCCATTGAAAGTATCTTTGGTGATTGAGATCATATTGCGTTGCCCTGGTAACAACATAGTCTAAAAACATAGAATCATAGAAATATGCAGCACAAAGGAAACTATTTGGCTCATCGTATTTGTGCTTTGGCCCAAATCCCAAATTTTTTCTGTGACACTGCAATTTCCTGATTTTCAAGTACCTGCTGGATTCGCTTTCAAAATTATTTCTGGAATCAGTTTCTGCCCTGTTTTCATGGAGACCCTTCCAGATTCTAACAATTCCAAGTGAAAATTCTCATCTTCCAATTATTTTGGTTCTACAACCTCTATTATTGATCCTTTCACTGACAGTAATATATGTTTCCTATTTTTACTCTTTCAAAACCTTTCAACATCTTTGAAGTACAGCAAACAATTAAGACAAATGGTATGTTTTGTTACAGAAGGAACAGAATATAACAGTAAGGAAGTCTAACTATAATTACATAGGGAATTGGGCAGGGCAGTCGTTGAGTATTATGTTGAGATTTAGTTTCCTTGCCTGATGAAAGACACACTTGGCCTTGCGGCAGCGCAGCAAGTTTCACTAGAGATAACAAGGTGTAGAGCTGGATGAACATAGCAGGCCAAACAGCATCATAGGAGCAGGAAGGCTGACGTTTTGGGCCTAGACCCATCAGAAAATTTCACTAGGCTGGTTTGTAAGATAAGGAGATTCTCCTGAGGAGAGACTGTATGTATTAGACCAATAACTAGAGGAATGGGAGGCCATTTAATTTAAATATATAAAATTCTTAAGGGAATTCTAAAGAAGAGTCATTGGACTTCAAACAATAATTCTCTTTGCAGATGCTGCCAGACCAGAGGTTCTTCAGCACTTTGTTTTTAGTTCAAAGTTTTTAAGGGGCTTGACAGGATAGTTTCTGAGGAAGGGTTTCCTCTGGCTGAAGAATTCAGTATGTGGCATCATGGTCTCAGAATAAGGGGCCAGTCATTCAAGACTGTGATGAGAAGACATGCTTTTATTCAAGGGTTTTAAAATATTCAAAATTCTCTTCTTCACAGGGCTGCAGATGCTCAGATGTGAGTATATTCAGGATGGAGATCAAAATATTTTTGGATATTAAGGGATATGGAGATAGTACAGAAAGGAGTTGAGGTAGAAGATGTTTTAGTTTTGAGTAAATGGTTTGGAAATATTAGGAAGAAAATATTGGAAGTCATTTTCAGAGACTTACAGGACATATTGTGCACTCTCACAGCAATATACTAACGATACATATCAGCCACTCACACAACTTTAACATTGACAAGTGAAATTCACTTTGCGACAGCATGAGACAATCTCGCAACTATTTGGCAGTTAACTTTTACCCTCCTAGTTTAGATTTTCCACTGACTTGGAAACTATTGCAAAGTTTTTTTTTATTTCAGACCAAGTTAGAGTGACTGAGAGTGGGAAATGAGAAACAAAATTGAATTATCTTTCTTTGAACTTCTGTAAACTAAATTATAAACTATATTAGAGTTTCCCATTATAATCATCCTTAGCTTTGTAATCCTCTGTAATCTCTGTACAAATTTGTTTCTCCATGTCATTCCAAGAAATTGATAGCCTCTGAAATACATACAATCTAATATGATGGCAACTCTGCTTCTCAGGCCTAAGCAAATGGATTCTGTCTTAGATCCCTTAAGGACATTCTCTCTCGAGCACTGCAGTCTTCTCCTTGATCAATAATATTTCTTCTCCTCTCTTTTCTCACTTCCTTTACTGAAAGCCTCTATATAAGAATATTTAACACCCTGTCCTCTCTGTCCTCATTATCAATACTGCACCTTATTCCTACAGGGCTATCTGTACCTGCAGCTCACCAACATGAACTCATTCCTTACATTCATATGCATGCAATGATTTAGGCATTTTGTCTTCCCTTAGTCTGATCTCAGCTAATATTTTACAATTTATTGTGCTAATGTTACAGTCTCTTCCAATTCTTAGCACTGTAGAAACTTAGTTAACTAACAAGTGTAAAACCTATTAAAATTCAAACATAGAGTTGCTATCAGAGATGTCTTGATTACACCAAAATCTATTTAGCACCTGAATGTTTATTAACTTTTGTTTGTTCTACATTGATAAAAAGAAGACAGCTGCAGAGGGAAGTGTGGTAACGAGTACGAGCGAGGCTATAAATGCCAGTGTGACTTTGACTGCCTTCGTTATGGTGAATGCTGTAAAGATTATAGAGCTCTCTGTACATCAGGTAAATCTATCAGATATGAGCTACTACCCATTTATTTTTTCAAGTTATAACTTGCAAGGAGGATCTATTAAGCAACAAATTGACAAACCATTTGCTTGCACATAAATATAAACGCTTGATATAATTTAAAACTTAGGTGACTTTAAACAATGAATAGGATTTTCAAAACTTAAATGTCTCCTTTGCTTCCCTCTAAATGCAAGCATTTTAGTAAAGCGCAGACTGATAATCCGTGGTGGCCTTATTAATATTGTAACTAATTCATCTCTAATTGACATCTGAAATGGATAGTTGTACAGGCAAATTTACCCTCAATTTTACAATTAGGTGTACAAAATGATCAGAGGTATAGATAGAGTGGACAGCCAGAGACTTTTTCCTAGGGTGGAGGTAGCTATTACAAGGGGGCATAGTTTTAAAGTGAGTGGAGGTAGATATAGAGGAGACGTCAGAGGTAGGTTCTTTACTCAGAGTGGTCGGGGCATGGAATGCATTGCTGGAGAGGGTAGTGGAGTCGGCTTCATTAGGGGCATTTAAGCGGCTATTAGAGAAGCATATGGATGATAGTATAAGGTAGGGGTGGAGGTTAGATAGACCTGAGGATTAGAGTAAAAGTTCGGCACAACATCGTGGGCCAAAGGGCCTGTACTGTGCTGTACTGTTCTATGTTCCATGTTTTATACAGCGACTCACAGTGAGTTCTAATTTGGAGTTTTGAACATCCTTGCATACTTCAGTCAAGTAACCATTCTTTACATAAGCCTCTTATGTCAGAAGGGTTGTAGATTAATTGAACAGCTTCATTACTACACACAGACAATCCTCACCTAGAATAATGGTATTCACACTTTTCAGGAGGAGCCTTTGTGAGCTTAATTCAAGGAAGTTTTATTATGAACGCACCAACTTCCAAAACTATCCCAGCAAAGATCATTGCTTCAACACAACAAGATCGGTGTTGCTCAACAGAATATTGTACGGTGCAATTTATTTCAAGTTCACTCAAAGGATGTGCATGTTGCTGGCTGGCCAGCCCATTTTATTGCCAATGCCTGGTCGCCCTTTAGAAGGTAGTATTGAGCTGCCTTCTCGAACCACTGCAGTCCACGTAGACTCCATAATGCTAGGATTTTTAACATCTGATCAGCCTGAAGCTATATACTTTTTCCACACGCTACTATAAAGTCTCTGTTTTGATTTTGTACAGAAATCTCATGTTCAGGGCGTTGTTACGAAGTGCACGAGCGTGGTCGGAAATGTCAGTGTGATTCCAAGTGCATAGAGTATAATGAATGCTGCTCTGATTTTATTGCAAGTTGTAAAGGTTAGTAACTAGCATACGTCACGTGCTTTTTTATTTCTTTCTGTGCGCTAAATGAGCAAGATACTTGAGCCAGAGATAACAATAACAAGGATGGGTAACAAACTGCAAAATCTACAAGAAAAGCTATCTAGAGGAAAAGTCTAGTTTGTTTTGTCGTGATTTTTGTAAAGTTTACTTAATTTTCTTAACTGCTTACAGAGAAGAGGAAATAAATAAATAAATAAATATCAGCTTTTTGGGAAAACAATCTTTGCTCATGGAGTGGAGTATAGTAGCTATACACAGCTTCACCTTAATCCTCAGCAGGACTGACATGATCTGTCAGACCTGCTGAGTATCTCCTACACTTAATTTTTATTTCAGACCTCCAGCATATGTAGTATTTTGTTTTTACTTGTCTTAATTTTTTTTGTTGTAAATCAGGTATTCAGTTCATATCGAAAGGACTAATTTATCTTTAATTAAATAATCTAATTCTATAAATTTCAAGAAACTTCAAATGTATTGCAAACATTGTTATGAAAACAGCCATCTGGCCCTTCCTGTATCTTACACATCCAAAAAAAATTTCCCTTTAGGAATGCAGATGTTTCCTACTGGATTCCAAAAACTTTGCTCCTGGTTTAACAGGATTTCCTTACTTTGAAGTAATTCAACCAGTTTTACACTGCTATTGGCATTGCTAGTATCAAACATCACTTGGAATTGAAACATCATTTATTCCTTTTATTGCTCCTATGTTGGCAAAGCTGTAATTTGATTAAGAAGCGTTCAAAATAAAATTTGAGGACTAAGATGTCAAGCTTCACTTAACATATTGTTCACACACAGATCCGCGGAAAGATCCAACAACATTCACGCCAACCACCAGATCAACTTTAGTATTCACTCGGAAACCATCAACAAAGGGACCTGAGCTTATCAGCAATACTGTAATTCAACAAGACTCTGCCAGCTATTCGAATGAAAAAATAAAAAGCACGTATGAACCTACAAAGCCAGGTATGAAGTCATACCAAAAGTGAACCACAAGCAACTTAGATATGTGAATGTACTGCACATTTCTAAATGCTAATGTTTGTTTTGTAGATGTGTAAATTATGCAGAATGATATCCATTATGTAGAAGGCCAAGGCAGTAGATGTATGGGAATATCACCTGCAAGTTCCCTCCAAGCACATACCATTCTGACTTGGAATGATATCAAAGTTCCTTTACTGCTACTGGGGGAGAATCCTTGAAGCCCCTGACAAACAGTGCTGTGGGTGTACACACCCCACACCCAACCTCACAGTGGTTCTCAAGTGCAATTAATGCTGTCCTTGGCAGCAATGCCTACATCCTGTGAAAAAATTAAAATATATGAACGTATTCATAGTGTTTCAAGGAATCTCTAAGTTTTTTTGTTTCTTAAAGTCAAATCGATGAACTACATTGAAGTGTTTCATTGTAAATAATACATAATATTTTCCATCTTGTTCAGAGTCTAACTTCCAAGGCAAACATTTTAGACAAGACTAATGACAGAGGACCAATATCATGGGCAGATAATTGCATACATTTATCATAAACTTCTTCCTAAGTTGTTGAAACCTACCTCCACAGAGCACGACATGAGGAGGACTGATTTATATTGCTGTATTAACAAAGGATGTTGAGATGAATGAAGGGAATGGGGATAACAGATAGTGATTAAACATGGATCACAAAAAAAAACTCAAACTGTGAATGGAAGATAGTGGCCTGGATTGTGAAAGGACCATTTTGTCAGGGACTAGATTAGAAAAGTCCTGTAAAATGAGAATGTTCAATGGAAAAATCATAAAATGTTATGAATAGGCAGACCAAAGGCAAAGGCAATCATTGTAATATTTAAACAGTTCGTCAAGAATCAAAATGTAATATACACCAATTGTTGAGTGTTTCTGTGGGAGGTGCAGATATACAAGAAATTACAAGAAAATATGATGGTATGACCATAGTGAATTATCACTTTTTTCCTGATTTCTAACATCTTACTTTTTCAGGAAATGGAACTATTAAGCTAAATGAAGGATCTACTATCATGAATCCTACCAATTTTAGGCTTATGGAAAATATTGTGGAGGATGACATTTTTGTGACAGAAGTTTCAAGTACCATGGATCCAAACTTAAAAACAGATGTCAGCGAACAATCCATTGTTCCAAAAAAGCTGGTTTCTAGAAGAGTACAAGATAGAACTCCACAGGCTACCTTCCGTGATGAAGCAGTTAGCACAAACCCAAACAGCTTAAACAAAGAAGGCACAGTACCTGCCATTCTTGAAATATTTGCAAATACATATCCCCAAATCTCTCAATCCTTTGCTCCAAACAATGTTAATTCTGTGGATCCTGACGACTCAGCTAATGCAGCAACAGTAGAACCCCTTACTCCTGAAGAAGCTGAATCGATGCTCCCAAACTTGAACAAGAAAGGCAGGACAGCATCCACTCAAAACATAGATCCAGGTATCGCAAACAAAGATAAAGCCCAGACCATAGTTCCTAGCATCTTTGTAACTATATATCCTGAATTTGTGCAGTCCTTTGCTCCAAACAGAAGTATCACTGTGAATCCTGACAACTTGGATGATGGAGCAACAATACAACCTATGTCAGAGGAAGTTGCAACAAACAGGCCAAAATTAGACAAAGAAGGAACAAGACCCTCTGTTCCTGAGGATAGAACACTGGCTTTTAAAATCTTGCATAAAGAAGGAACAACAAAACCCTTTACATTGGAGGAGGATATCACGGCTTCTAAATCATTGAGTGAAGTAACAATAGCACAATCCACTGTTCCTGAAGTTAAGATCAAAGATTCTAAAATGTTTTCCAAAGAAAAAGTGACAATGCCCCCTACTGATGAAGATGGTACCAAGGGTTCTCAGCCTTTGGAGAAAGAAGGAAGGACAAAGTCTTTAGTCCCTGAAGATAGTAGCGTAGATTCTAAACTGTTGAATATAGAAGCAACAACAAAATCAACTATTGCTGAGAATGATACCGTAAACTCCGAACCCTTGGACAATGAAGGTACAAAGGACACTGCTTCTGAAGGATCTGTAACCATACATCCGAAAACTACACACTTTGTTTCAAATAGAGTTATTAGTGTGCATTCTGACAATTTGGACAATGCAACAAAAATACAACCCATTCCTCCTGACGACATTACAATTATCACCCCATACATAAACAGTGAAGGAACAACAAAACAAATTGCTCCAGAAGGATCTGGAACCATACATTCAAATAAGGCAGAAGAAGAAATACTTAGTACTATCCCTGAAAAATATCCAACCACATATACAGAAATTTCACAAACAGAATCTCTAAATACAGCAACTATATTTGGTCTTGAAAACTTGCATATTGCAACAACAATACTTTCCATTCCTCCTGATGAAGCTGTAACTGGGCTGCCAAACAAGAATGATGGTGCTACACCCTCCAAAGTTTTTGTTAAAGAAGGAACAACAAAGTCCACTATTGTTGAGGATAGTGCCTTGAACTCAGAATCCTTAGACGGTGAAGAAATGGGGGCCACTGTTCCTGCAAGATATACAAGCATGCATCTTGAAATCTCAGAGTCCTTTGCTGCAAACAAAGCTATTTCTCTGGATCCACATAAATCATACAACTTAGCAACAATACAACCTACTCCTGAGGAAACCACAACGATTCTCCAATACTTGACCAAGGTTGGAAAAACACAGCCTTCTGTTGTAAATGGATCATCATTAAAACCCAATACTCCTGCAGAAGCTGAAACAACATTCCCAAAGCTGGACAAGGGGGGAACAATAAAACCCACTGTGCATGAAGATGCCACAGATTCTAAAATCCTGGAGCAAGATGAAATGACAAAATCCAATGTTCCTGAAAAAGGACATACCATAGATTCTAAAGTCTTCGATAAAGAGGGAAGAACAAAGTCCATTATTGCGGAGGATGGTGCTTTGAACTCTGAATCCTTGGACCATGAAGAAACAACCATTTTTCCTATAGAGAGCACGACGAATTATGAAGGGTTGACAAAAGCCTTCTATCTTGAAGATGGTACCATGGATTCTAAACTTTTAGATACAGGAGGAAGAACAAAATCTACTGTGGATCCCACATCAAGAGGCAAAGAAGCAACAACAAAAGCCTTGGATTCTGAAGATGATATCACTAATGCTAACATGTTGGACATACAAATTGCAAAGGCTTATGTTAATCAAGATGTTACAATTGATTCCAAAGCTTTAGATAATGAAGGAACAACAAAACCCATTATTGCTGAGCATGGTACCATGAACTCTGAAACCTTAGACAGTGAAGAAACACAGACTGCTGCTTCTGAAGGATTTACAATTGTACATCCTGAATTAGAAAAATTAATTATTCCAAACACAGCTGTTACTGTGGATCCTGACAACTTGGACAATGCAACACAACAAGCTATTCCTCCTGAAAATGTTGCAACAATGCTTCCACACAAAGAGATAGAAGAAACAACAAAACCCACAGTTCCTGAAGGACACACAACTATGTTACCCGATAATGTAGACAAAGAAAACATGCAGTTTACAGTTCCTGAAAAATACCCAACTACATATCATGGAATGTCACAATCCATTCCTCCAAACACAGCAAGTACTCTGGGCGCTGTTCGATTGGGCAATGCAACAACAATAAAATCCAATACTCCTGAAGAAGCAAAAACATTGTTTCCAAAGACTGACAAAGAGGGAACAATAAAATCAGTTCTGCCTAACTATAATAACACAGATTCTAAAATTTTGGACAAAACTAGATTGTCAAATCCCATTGTTCCAGAAGAGGATCCTACTGCAGACTCTAGAGTCTTGGATAAAGAAGGAACTACCAAACCTACTCCTGCTGAGCACAGTGCCTTGAACTCCAAACCTATGGACATTGAAAAAAATCCCACTGTTCCTGAGGAAAGTACCACGGAGTTCAAAATCTTAGATGGTGAAGAATCGACAAAGGCCCCTGTTCCTGAATATGGTATGATGGATTCAAAACCTTTTGATACAGAAGGAACAACAAAGCCAACTTCTGAAGGATCTTCAACCATGGATTCAGATAAGGTAGGTATAAAAGAAATAGAGACCACTGTTACTGAAAAACATGCAACTACATATACTGAAATTTCAGAATCGCTTGCTCCAATCAGAACAACTTCTCTGGGTAACTTGGAGCATGCAACAATACAACCCATTAGTTCTGAGGAATCTATAACAATTCTTCCAAACTTGACCAAAGACAAAACAGCAAAGCTTTCCACCTCTGAACAGCATATTATGGATTCAAGATCTTCAGACAAAGAAGCAACAACAAAACCTACCACTTTTGAAGATAACAACACTGACTCTAAAAGCTTGGATGAAGACAAAATAACAATGGTCACAGTTAGTGAAGATGGTATGATTGATTACAAATCTGTGGAGAAAGATAGGACAACAAAACACACTGTACCAGAAGATGGTTCCACAAATTCCAAAGTCTTTGACAGAGACGGGACTACAAACTTCCCAACAGCTGAAGATAGTACTATTAACCCTGAAACTTTGGACACTAAAGGAGCAAAGCCCACTGTTCCAGAAGATACCAGCTCTGATTCAAAAACTTCGCACAATCAAGGATTTACAAAGGCCTATGACCCTGATTATTGTTCAAAATCACTGGAGAAAGAAGGAATCACAAAGGCAGACATTATTGAAGATAATTCAATGGCGAAAGAAGCAACAACACAGCCATCTACTCCTGATCAAGGTACAAAGTCTAAATCACTGCACAAAGAGGTTACAACAAAATCCACTGTTCCAGAAGAGGATGGTACCACAGATTCACATTCCTCAGATAAAGATGTACCAACAAAGTTGACTGTTACTGAGCATGGTACCATGATCGCTGAATCCTTGGATAATGAAATACACACCACAGCTTCTGGACGATTCACAGCCACATATCCTGAAATTCCACAGTCACTGGTTCCAAATAGAGATGTTACTGTAGATCTTGACAACTTAAACAATGCAGCAACAACACAAACTGAAAACGCTGCAAGAATGTTCCCATACAAAGACAAAGAGGAAACAACAAAAGTTCCTGAACGATCTGAAACCACGTTATCAGATAACTTAGGCAAAGAAGAGATGAGAACTACAGTTTCTGAAGAACGTGCAACAATGTATTTTGAAATTTTACAGTCGAAGAACACAACAGCACAACCCATTAGTTCTGAGGAACCTATTCCAATCCTGCCAAAATTGACTGGAGAAGGAACAGCAAAGCCCTTTACTTCTGAAGAAAGTACACTGGATTCTAAATCATCGGACAAAGCAGCAATAACAAAACCCACTGTTTCTGAAAATAACTCCGACTCTAAAAACTTGAACCATGAAGAAACAACAATGCCCACTATTAATGATGATGGTACAATTGAATTTACGTCAGTAAATAAAGATAGGACAACAAAACACACTGCACCAGAAGATGGTTCCACAGATTCCAATATCTTGGACAGAGATGGGACAACAAACTCCCCTACTGCTCAAGATGGTACTACTAACTCTGAAAACTTGGACAATGAAGCAACAAAGCCTGCTGTTCCAGGAGATAACATCCCTGATTCAGAAAGTTTGGACAATGAAGGATTGACAAAGGCCTATGATTCTGAATATAGTTCGATGGATTCTAAAGCATCGGACAATGAAGGAATCACAAAGGCAGACATTATTGAAAATAATTCAAAGGCAAAAGCAACAACACAGCCATCTACTCCCGATGAACGTACAACAAAGTCTAAGTCACTATACAAAGAAGTTACAACAAAATCCACTGTTCTAGAGGATGATATCACAAATTCTTATATCTCAGATAAAGAGGGACCAACAAAGCTCACTATTACTAAGCATGGTCCCATGATCTCTGAATCCTCGGATAATGAGGAAATACACACCACTGCTTCTGGAAGATTAATAGCCATACATCCTGAAATTACACAGTCATTGGCTCCACATAGAAATGTTACTGTGGATCTTGACAACTTAAACAATGCAGAAACAATACAAACTATTGCTCCTGAAAATGCTGCAACAATGGTCCCACACAAAGTCAGAGAGAAAACAACCACAGTCCCTGAAGGATCTGAAACCACATTATCAGAAAACTCAGACAAGGAAGAGATGCAGACTTCAGTTCCTGAAAAACGTGCAACAATATATTTTGAAATTTCACAGTCTGTTGCTCGAACTTCACTGGGCCCTGATCATTTGGAGAACACAACAACAGTACAACCGATTAGTTCTGAGCAACCTGTAACAATCCTGCCAAAATTGACCAAAGAAGCAACAGCAAACCTCCTTACTCCTGAAGGTGGTACACTGAATTCTAAGTCATCAGACAAAGAAGCAACAACAAAACCCACTATTACTGACGATGGTACGATTGAATCGAAATCTGTGGATAAAGACAGAACAACAAAACACACTGCAGAAGATGATGGTTCCACAGATTCCAACGTCTCGGACAGCAACGGGACAACCAACTCCCCTACTATCGCAGAAGGTACCAGCAACTCGAAAACCTTGGGCAATGAAGATGCAAGGCCCACTGTTCCACAGGATACCAGCTGGGATTCAAAACTCTTGGACAATGAAGGATTGACTAAGGGCCATGATTCTGAATATAGTTCAATGGATTTTACATCATTGGAGAAAGAAGGAATCACAAAGCTACATGCTAATGAAGATGAATCAATGGTGAAAGAAGCAACAACACAACCAACCAATCCTGGTGAAGTTACAACAAAGTCTAAATTACTATACAAAGAACTAACAGCGAAACACACCGTTCCAGAAGAGGATGTTACCACAGATTCTTATTTCTTAGATAAAGACAGACCAACAAAGCCCATTATTACTGAGCATGGTCCCATGATATCTGAATCCTTGGATAATGAGGAAATACATACCACAGCTTCTGGACAATTCACAGCCATACATCCTGAAATTCCACAGTCGTTGGTTCCAGATAGAGCTGTTACTGTAGATCCTGACAACTTAAACAATGCAGCAACAATACAAACATTTGCTCCTGAAAATGCCACAAAAATGCTCACGTACAAAGACAAAGAGGGAACAGTCAAAGTTCCTGAAGGATTTGAAACCACGTTATCAGATAACTTAGACAAAGAAGAAATGCAAACTTCAATTCCTGAAAAAAGTGCAACAAGGAATTCTGAAACAATACAACCTATTAGTTCTAAGGAACCTGTAACAATCCTGCCAAAATTGACCGAAGGAACAGCAAAGCTCTTGACTCTTGAAATTATGTTGGTTTCTGAATCATCAGACAAGGAATCAAAACCCACTGTTTCTGAAAATAACAACACGGAGTCTAAAAGTTTGCACAAAGAAGAAACGAAACCCACTATTACTGACGACGGTACGATTGAATCTCAATCTGTAGATGAAGACAGGACAACAAAACACACGGTACAAGAAGATGGTTCCACAGATTCCAATGTCTTGGACAGAGATGGGCCAACAAACTCCCCTACTGCTGAAGATGGTACTAGTAATTCAAAAACCTTGGATAATGAAGCAGCAAAGCCCACAGTTCCAGAAGATATCATCCCTGATTCAAAAATCTTGGGCAATGAAGGATTGACCAAGGCCTATGATCCTGAATATAGTTCGATGGATTCTAAATCTTTACAGAAAGAAGGAATCACAAAGCCACATGTTATTGAAGATGGTTCAATGATGATACATCCTGAAACAGCCATACATCCTGAAATTTCAGAGTCATTGATTCCAAGTAGAGCGGTCACTGTAGATGCTGACAACTTAAATAATGCAGCAAAGATACAGCTTATTGTTCATGAAGATGCTACCTCAGTACTCCCACATAAATACCTAGAAAGAACAACAAAAGTTCCTGAGGAGTCCTCAACTACATTATCAGATAACTTAAACAAAGAAGAGATGCAGACTTCAGTTCCTGGAAAACATGTAACAATGTATAATGGAAGTTTACGGCCTTTTGCTCTGAACAGAGCAACTTCTCTGGGCCCTGCTAACTTGGAGAATGCAACAACAATACCACCTGTTACCTCTGTGGAACCTCCAATCATACCAAACTTGAACAAGGAAGAAACAGATCTCTTTACTTCTGAAGATGACACACTAGATTCTAAATCACCAGACAAACTAGTAACAACCAAACCTTCCACATCTGAAGATAACAACACTGACTTTAAAAGCTTGAACAAAGATGAAATAACAAAGGCCCCTGTTAATGAAGATGGCAGAATTGAATCCATAACCGTGCCTAAATATAGAATAACAAAACCCACTGATCGACAAGGTGATACCAAAGATTCTACAATTCTAGGCAAGGAAGGAATGTCAAAGCCTGTTGTTGTTGAGGATGATACCATGAACTCTGAAACCTTGTACAATGAAGAAACAAAGCTCATTGTTCCTGAAGATACCACCTCAGATTCCAAACCCTTCGACTCTGAAGGATCAACAAAGGACTATAGTACTGAATATGGCACTGTGACTTCCAAAGCATTCTATAAAGAAGGAATGACAAGTCCACCGAATAATGATGAAGATGGTATGATGGACATAGAAGTAACAATACTGCCTTCTATTCCCAAAAGTGGTCCAGCAGATTCTAAATCATTGTACAGGGAAGCTGATACAAAACCCATTGTTCCCAAAGATAATATAACGGATTTGAAAATCTTGGTCATGAAAGAAATGACAATGGATCCTGTTAAAATTGATTCTAAATACTTAGAGAAAAAATGGATAACAAAATCCATTGGTCTAGAAAGTGGTACCACAGATTCCAAATTCTTTGATAGGGAAGGGAAAACAAAGCCCTCTTTTGCTAAGGATAGTACCGTGATCTCCGAATCTTTGGATAATGAGGAAATACATACAACTGCCTCTGGAGGATTTACAGCCAAATATCCTGGAATTTCACAGTCTTTTGTTCCAAATGGAGCTGTTACTGTGGGTCCTGACAACATAGGCAATGCAGAAACAATGCAGCCTATTGTTCCTGAAAATGCTGTAAAAGTGCTCCCACATAAAGACACAGAAGGAAAAACAAAACACCCCAAGCCTGAAGGATCTGCAACCATGTCCTCACTAGACGTCACTAAAGGGGAGATGCAGACTACTTTTCCTGAAAAGCATGTAACCGTGTATCATGAAATTTCACGGTCCTTTGCTCTGATTAGAGCAATTTCTCTGGGTCTAGATAACTTGGATAAACTAACAACAATAAAATTCAATACTTCTGAAAAAGACAGAACAGTGCTCCAACAGCTGGACAAAAATGGAATGACAAATCCCACTGTTCTGGAAGAAGGTCACAGCACAGAATCGAAAGTCTTGGATAAAGAAGGCACTATGAAATCCACTACTACTGATGGTGGTGCCTTGAACTCCAAATCCTTGGACAGTGAAGAAGCAAAGCCTGAAGAAAGTACTCGAGATTTCAAAATCTTGGATAACAGACAATTGACAAAGGTCTCTGTTCCTGAATGTGGTACCATGGATTCAAAACCTTTCAATAAAGAAGGAACAGCAATGCCAACTGTTTCTGAAGGATCTGCAACCATGGATACAGATAAAGCAGGCAAAGAAAAAACACAGACTACTGTTCATAAAAAATGTGCTATTGTCCACCTTGGAATTTCACAAACCTTTGTGGCAAACAAAGCAACTTCTCTGGGTCCTCGCAATTTGGATGATGCACCAACAATACAACCCATTAGCCCCAAGGAACCTGCAACAATCCTTCCAAACTTGACCAAAGGAGGAACAATAAAGCTCTCTACCCCTAGAATGCATATCATGCATTCCAACTCATCAAACCAATATAACAACACAGACTCTAAAAGCTTACACAAAGAGGTAACAACCATGACAACTATTCCCGAACAAACTGCATCCTTGAATCCAGATGAAGTGGACAAAAAAGTAATGCAAACTGCAGCTCCTGAAAAATCTGCAACCACATTTCTTAAAATTTCACAGATGTTTTCTCCAAATGGTCCAAACCTGGATAAAGAAAAAGTAACAAAACCAGTTGTTTCTGAATATTTTACCCCATATTCTGAAAATATTAATATAGGAGGATCAACAAAGCCCGCAATTGCTGAGGATGGCACTTTGATATCTGCATCCTTTGTCAATGTGGAAACAAAGACCATTTCTCCTGAAGAATCTGAAAATGTACATCTCAAATTTACAGACTCCTTTGTTCCAAATAGAACTGTTACTGTACAACCTGATAACTTAGATAATGCATTAACAATGCAATCTATGCCCACTGAGAAGTCCATCACAACCCTCCCATACTTAGACAAAGTCAGAACATCAAGGTCTCCTGTTCCTGAAGAAGGTTCCCTTAATTCTAAATCTTTGGATAGAGAAGGAACAACAAAGTCAACTGTCCTGCCAAGAAGGTCTACCTATCTCAGCATCTTACAAGACAAAGGACAATCACAACCTACTATTCAAGATGCTCACTTCATTAAGCCAGACTTAGGCACAGACAAAGACGGAATAACACAGCTGACTGTAGCTGCAGAACCTGCTTTAGTTGCAACATTGAACAAAACAAGTACAACACTGATCAATGTTTTTGAAAGAACCACAATTGTTCAACCTACCAACTTGGACATTGAAGCAATGACTAATATTGAAAAACCTAGCACTACAGATTTAAAATTAAAAACTGAAATGGAAAAGACTACTGATCTTGATAAATATACAGGAAAAGATTTTAATGTAAGTTAAAACTGGAGATTCCACTAGCTTCAACAAAAATCCTTCTCTAAATGCATTTGATAAATGGCCACACAACAAAGTCAATATCCAAGATAAAGGATCTTTCAGTTGGGGTTACTGTAATATATTAGCATGAATAGAGGATTATTCTGCCGACAAACACAGACTGCGAAAATCAGGTGTTTTCAATTTGGCAATCTGTAACTAGTGAAGTGCAACAGGATCAATACTGGGGCTTTAGCTTTTTACAATCTGTGTTAATGATTTTGATGAAGAGACCGAGAATAATTAATATATTTAAGTTTACTGACTTTACAAAGCTATGTGAGAATATAAGTTGAGGTCACAAAATGACTGTGGAAATACAGACAGGTTAAATTGAATGGACTTTAGGATGACAGATGGCCATAATGAAGGGAATCATGAGGGTTTTGGAGGTAAGATTAGAAAAGCAGAATTTATTTTAAGATAAGGCATGAAACTTGTAAAAGTTGATGTTCATGAACAAATCAAGTAGGCATTTCTGTAATGTCTCCAAAGCAGCTAGACCTGTTTTTAAACAGAGACCAAAACTCAAATTTATATTCCAGCTATGGTCTCGCCAATGTCCTGTATAATCATGGCCTAACTTTCCTGTTTTTGTACTCCAGTTCCCTTGCAATAAAGACTAATGTGCTATTTGCTCTCCTAATTGCTTGCTTACCTGCATGCTATCCTTCTATTTTCATTCTGTGAATATACCAACATGCCTCTGCACATCAAATGAAACTTCCTTAATCTTTACTCCTTATTCCAATTCTTTTACAATTAATAACAACATGCTATTTGTTTTTCTAATTGCTTGCTGTGCCTGAACAACAACTTCATGGAGGGTGGTGGAGGTCAAAACAAATAATATGCTCGCCAGATTGTTACTTTTGTCAACAGGCAAGGTCAACATTGTAAACATGGAAAATCCTCAGATGAGTTTTAAGAAGTTCATTTGCTTGATAAAAGTTACGGTAAATTTCCCATTAGATTGCACTGGAAGCACTGTGCCAAGATTCTTCAGGAATGGAGGTGGGACTTGGGAACTGCTTGTTCCGGACTCAGCCCATGTTGGTTTTTGTCTTGGGTCTACCTCTAAGTGAGACGTCAATCCCTAGGCTGCTTGGGGAAGAGCCCTACCACTAGCAGTCTCAAGTCAGAGATGGGATTGGTCCTATTTTGAGTCTAACTTTCAACATCACCCAAAGTTAGTATTCAGTCATAGCAAGCAATTAGAATGGGAAGATGGTAATCTGATGAAGAGTCACTGGACTCAAAACGCTAATTCTGCTTTCTTCCCACAGATGTTGCCAGAACTCGAGTTTTGCCAGCAATTTCTGTTTTTCGGCAAATTGCATGTTGGCCTTTAGTGTAGCAGTATTTGAATGCAAGAATAAGAAAGACTTGTCCATTAATGTTCAGAGATACTTGTGTATATTTTAAACAAGAAAAATAGAAGGTTATCATGCAGTTATAGCCAGCAATTAGGAAGGCGAATGCCTTTACTAAAAAGGAACTAAAGTACAAAAACAAGGCACAGAGCTACAATTATACAGAGCTTTGGTGAGACCATACCTGGAGTTGTGTACAGTTTTGGCTGTACCTGCATTTGTTGTAATACAATAATGGTTCACTGGATTGATGCCTGATACGAGAGTTGTCCAATGACATGAAGCTGAATAAATTGTGGCTATAGTCTTGGATTCAGAAACTCTCACTGTGGCATGCAATGTTCTCGAAGGATATGACAGGGTAGTCACCAAGAGGTTGTTCCTCCTGGTTAGACCTAGACCATTGCAGAATAACCTTAGGGTAAAGTGTTGACCAACTGGACTGAGAGGAGGAGGATTGTGAATCTTTGGACTTCAGCTGCAACCTTCTGGGGTAGAGATGATATTTAAGACTGAGATAAACAGATCTTTGATCATTTAGGGAATTGAGGGATGTTGGCATGAAGTGGATTTGGGACAGAGCCTTAATATTGAAAGTCACGGCAGGCTCAAAGGATGGTGAAGTACTCTTGCTCCTAATTCTTATGTTCTGATGTGTAATTATTGCAATCTTCAACATGTCAGCCTGGGCATCTCATTGAAATATCCACCTCACTTCGCAACCAGGGTGTCCACCATGAGGTTGAATTTAGTTCATTTTCCAATTATGTATTGTCTGAGTAGCTCATTCAAAGAATTGTTCTTTTTCACAACAGATTGTTCCTGCTCCCAGCACAAAGCCAAAAGGGGTAAGACAAATACTCATGTTGAAAATGTTCCACCTCTTTGAAAGTGAACAGTTGACTTCCCAGTGAGGAATACAAAAATAAAAAAATCAGCTCTGCTGACTCTCAGCAGAATTTGTATTGGCCTAAGGCTTCCATCTTCTCTCTTTTTCAGTCAGGACCTAGTTGAGGACTCAAAGACATCGCAAATTCCTACTGGAGAAAAACAACAGTGCTGGTAGTGACAAGAGGGTACCATGCCTAGTGTATATTCATTGACAGTGTTACAAAGAGTTTGTCTTATTCCCAACAAAAACGATTGTGCTTTCCATTTCAACCACCTGCAATACTATCAAGACTAGGAAAGAAGCTTACTATCAGGGATCACCATCTTGGACCAACTGAGTAGCTTTAATCATCTCTGGAAAGGTTTCAAAGAATGATGCTAAACAGGATATGACCAAATTCTGCCTGATTCAAAAACATTATTTTATGCTCTATCGATATAGCACTGCTCCAAAGGGTTACATATGCTGACCTCCACAATTTAATGGCTGAACAAAATTTCACTCATTTTATTGACGATAATGAGATAATTTATTTATGCAGGACATATATTAGAGCTCACTGTTCTAAGCATTAAAATGTATTTCATTTCATTTCATAGGTGACCACTTCTGCTCACTTGTCCCCAGACAGTCATGATAGCAAAGTAACATTAGTTACCAAATTATCAGAAGCACTCAGAAATCAAACAACTACCAAAGCTGCGTCATACGCAGGTAAGATATACAATTCACTGGCTGCCTCCATCGTACCTTAAGAAAATTCATACATCAAAAAGTAATCTGGTACCAATTAATTATGCCAATTATAGGTAAATTCTTTTTCAAAAATTTTCAGTAACTATACGTCATTTTAAGTAATATTATAGTGTAAAAATGTTATCTTGAGCTTATGATTGAAAGAATAGCAGTGATGTTTAATGCACCCTAGATAAAAGGTATCGCAAGAGCAGAGAGTAGAAGTGCAGAAATTTTTAAGATGACAAGGCAAATTGAGAAAATAGTTAAAGCATACAGTAACATGGGGTTTATAAAAGAAAGGTTCAGAGTACAGAACAAAGAGGATATGATAAACCTGTATAAAACATGATCTCCGCCTCAACTGAAATATTTAATCTAGTTCTGGTACCATCTATTGGAAGGTCATGAAGATATTAGAGAGGTGCAGAAAAGATTAATGGGAATTATCCAGGAATGAGGAACTTCAGTTAAATGGATAAATTGGAGGGGGAGGAGTATACTTCTTGGAGAAGATGTTTCATACAGGTGTTGAAAATTCTGACAGGTCTCCAGTAGATTGGAAGAAATGCCTTCCATTGGTAGGAGGATTGGGAACCGAAGGATACGATGTTAAAATGATTCACAAAAGCAGCAATGTGACATTAGGAAAAGTATTTTTCATGCAGGGGTTATTTAGGATCTGAGGTATTCGGCCATAGAGTAGGTTGGAAGGATAGTTTCCAAAAGAAAGAAATTTGGCAGGCTACTGTGAGAAAGCTGGGGAATGGGATTTGGTGACTTGTTCGTGCAGAAAATTAGCATGGACCAAGTGGACATTTTCTACTCTGTACTGAGAGATATGGAGCATTAAAATAAATATTTTGATATCAAGTTGTTCCAGTGACATGTAGTGCAATTGATTTTCTAGATTAGCACCAGAAAAATAACCTTAAAAACTATTTTTCCTTGTAGAAACCCAAGCGATTTATTAGTATATGTCATCAAATGGGATGTACTCACCCTACATATCCTGGTCTACATATGAATTCACTCCCACATATGTGATTTCGTGCCTTCTCCTGTTGTTCAATAAGATTGCTACTAGATGGCAACTTGTAATGGGAATGTGGCCAGTGCCTCCTGCTTGCCAATGATGGTTGTTTTAAAGAATTAGCTGTCAAGAATGATCCATTAAATATATAAAAGAGAAACTGCTGTAAATATTTCACAGATCTGACACTATCAATGGGAAGAGAAAGAGGGTTGAGGTCAAATATAACTCCTCCTCAGAACCCATTTTCCAAAGTAATAATATTGGACTCTGTTTCTCTCTCATTAATGCTGGAAGATTTGCTGAATATTTCCAACACTTTCAGTTTTTAAGATTTCCACAGTATTTTGTTATCTATTAAGATAAAGATTTACTTTAAAAGTTACCAACAAGTAATTAAAAATGGAAAAAAATAATCCCTGAATACCATGGTGGGTTGTGAGATGAGAAAGGGTGTTCTATATTCAATTTACAAATAAAAACAACTTTGGAAATTGTAATTGTACTGAAAAACTGGAAGGCGGTAGTGTTACTGTTAAGAATAAGAAAATTGTAGGCAGGAAATTTGACCTTTTTAACAAATAAAAGTTCACACACTGGAAGAAAATTAGTGAACACTTAAGTGTTCAGGGTCAGTCAGTATCTATTTCTAAAGGCATAAGTCACTTGATTAATTTCATTGATTTTTTTTTCAAAGATATCAGTGAGAGTTATTGGAAAAGTAGTGAATGTTATATATATGGCATTTCAGACAGTGTTATGAAAATTCATGCACACGATATTAAAAGAAATATAGTAGGTTTGAAAAAAAAAAGGTAGAGCTAATCTGGAATGATTTTTGAGTTTCAGGATGTTGGTGTTAGGAAACAAAATGGTTTCTGGCCTTATCAACAAATTATTTAGCCACAACAGAAGAATCCTTTGAATTTGCCACTGTTACTAAATTAAGATGCTTAGGAGCCTGTGAAGTTGTCACAGAGCTCAGCTGAGTATTTGCTGATAAAGTTCACTTGCAAAGAAATATGAAGCAGTGCATTTTGGTGAAAACCCAATATATTCTAAACTTATTAGGGGGAGGAACTGAATAACGTAGGAATGCAGGAGGCATCAAGACCTTAAGCAATTGGGCACAGATAGGAAAAGTCACAAAAAAGACAGAAGGGATTCTTGGATTTAAAGAAAAGCATTTTGGTTTCATTGATTTGTACATCAATAAAATGTAGGTAACTTATTACAGTTTAGAAATCTGATTCTCACATTAATTCATAATATGTCCAATTTTAGACTATCTTAACAATCCCAATTTGTGTAATAAGAGACCCTCAGATGCTTTGACAACTGTACAGAATGGAACAACATATATTTTCAGAGGTAAGTTGTTAAGATGTTTCAGAAATGCAATTGCTACTTGTAACAAAATACGTTTTTGACATAGGAGCCAGACTAAGCATTGAACATTTCTCTTTGGATTCTGATAAAGGTCAGATGTATCTTTAAATGTTTACACCTCGTTTTCAAAAAACTTGCATTTGCAGTTTCTTTCTTGTAATGCATACTCATTTATAGTGATCTACTGATATAATATTGAACCAGCAACAGAGGCAAATAATTCTAATTCCATCATACAGGTTCTGTAATTGGGCTCAATAAATATAGCTAGCATAATAACCCTGAAAACTTATCTTCAACCTAGTGTTCTATCCCCCATATCTTTCAATGCTCTTGGTATACAAAACATTGATTTTTGATTTGAACGTAGTAAATGACTTTGCATTAGCAGCAAATCTGGATTTTACACTCTGCCTCCTCTTTTTACATCTGGACACATGGAGTAGCAACCACTCAGCTTCTTGATCCTGCTGTCACTCAACATGGTCATAATCCATATTCCCACTTACCTCTAGTAAATTTTTATCCCTCTGCTGATCAAGAATCTGTCTACTTCTATGCAAGGACTCTGCTGCCATCAACTTTTCAGGAACAATGCTCCAAAGACTCTCAAACTTCTTAAAAGAAAAAAAAATTCTACTCTCTGTATAAACGGCTGACTGTTTATTTTGAAACAAGGGCACCTAGTTTGAAATTCTCCCAATGAGAAATATTCTCTCCACCTCCACTCTGTTAAGGCCCTTTTGGATTGTGTGTGTTTCAATCAAGTCACCTCTTACTCTTCTGAATTCCAAAAGATACAAACTTAGCCTGTCTAACCTTTCTCCACAGACAAGTCCTTTCTGGGTATTAGTCTAATGAATCTCTGACCTGTTTTCCAAGGCTTTTGTAATCTTTTTAAGATAAGGTAGCAAATACTGCATAGTATTCCAGATACGGTCTCTCCAATACTCTGCACAACTTAAGTATAATCTAGCTAGTTTCGGATTCAATTCCTCTTACAATAAACAATAACATTCTATTAGCTTTGCTAATAACTTGCTTACTATCATTTTGTAATTCATACACTTGAATACAAATCCCTCTGCATCCTCTCATCATTTAGACAATATTCTTATCTTTAATTCTTCCTGCAAAAAACAGGATTTCACATTTTCCCAAATTATGCTCCAATTGTCAGACCTTTGCCCACTCAAAACTACCTTTATCCCTTTCTAGCTGCTTTACAGCCTCTTCACAATTTATTTTCTCACCTGTATTTGTGTTATCAGCAAACCTAGCAACCATAAATTTGGTCCCTTCACTCCAGTTATCTGGAAATTTTGAAATGCTGTTTTTGACTCCAAAGTTCAAATTGTTGATGTACATTGTGATCAGTAGTGGTCTCAGCACTGATCATTCCACCATTCTGAATAGGCACCCATTACTCCCTCTATGCCTCCACTGCAAGTAGGTAGCAATCTAATCTGGTTAACTAGCACTATCAGTTTACTCTTGATCATCAGCAAGGTGACAGTGTTGTAAACCGTACTATTGAATGACATTTGCTCAGCAAACAACCTGCTCACTAATGCTCAGTTCAGGTTCTGCTAGGGATAATTACCACCCAACATGATACAGCTTTGGCCTGAACGTTGACAAATGAGCTGAATTTAAGAGGTAGAAGCGTGACTGCCTTACAGATTTACACAGCACTTGAGATACCTGAGCAAAATTTATGTCAACGGGAACCAGAGGTAAAAAATGTTACACCTGGTTCGGGTCATATCTAGCACAAAGGAAAATGACTGATTGTTCAAGACAAATCATTTCAGACCCAAGACATCAATGAACAAGTACCTTAGCATATATATTTTTGAAGTCAACTTGTTCATAAGTGTCATGATACTGGTCTGAAGCAGTTGGCACTTGAACCCAGGTCTCATGGCTCAGCACTGCCACTGCACCCAGACAACCCCAGCTATCACAGGATAGTTAATTTTTCTTGTTAAATGACAAAAACCAGGTTTTTTTTTTACTTTAATCTATTTTTCTAATCAACCTGTTCAGAAATATTATGATACATCTCTGGAACAGGTAGGACTTGAACCCAGGCCTCTCTGGTCTAGGGGCAGGGATGTGACCACTATGCCACAAGAGGTACAGAACCACAAAATTGTATCCTAGGTCTGACTATTTGCAGCAGCTCCATCAATGGCCACTCTTTATTACAAAAGGTCAGAATTGGAAACGTTCACTCACAAATGCAACCTTTGGGATCATTCAAAAACTGTTCACATGTATCAAGATCTGGACGACTTTCAGTGACAAGTGACATTTATGCCACACATGCCAGATGATGAACATCTGTAAGAATTCTAACCATCTCCTCTTGATATTCAATGGCAATATCACAGTGTCCCATTATCAATATTGTGGAGGTTACCATTGACCAGAAACTGAAATGGATATAGTGATGTTTTTAAAAGCAGCACGGAGGATGGCAAATAAATCACCACTTCAAAATATTCCAGTATCTATGAAGCACAAGTCAGAGTACGATGGAATATTCTACTTTTGCATGGTTAAAGGTGGCTCCAACACGCAAGAAACTCAATGTCATCCAGGACATGACAGCCTGCTTAACTAGCATCCTATCTTTTACCTTAAAAGTTCACAGTTCCTATCACAGATGCAGACAGTGTATACCATATCCAAGATGCTACTCCAGCAATCTGTCAAGCTTCTTTAGAGGAACATTCCAACACCAAGACCTCTTACCACCTAGAAGGATACAAGCAGCATTTATATGGGAATACAACAATCTGGTAATTCTTCTCTGAGCCATACTATCTTGACCTATAAAGCACTGAATTGAAATCCTGAAAATCCCTTCCTAGCAATACTGTAGGCGTACCTATAATCAGACAGACTGCAATGGTTGAAGGCCATGGCTTACAATCACTTTCAAGGTCAACTGGAATGAGCAACAAATGCTGACCTTGTCTGTTATGCCAACATCCTATGCAAGAAGGAAAAAAATAGTATTAATTCTGCATGGTCTGTCACCTACTTATAGGATTTGCATTCTACCTGCTAATTCACCAGCACTAGTTTTTTTTTTCTAATTACATTTGCAGGTCATTTGTTTTGGACAATAGATCCAAAAGGACAATCATTAGGATACCCCCAGAGGATTTCTGAAGTGTGGGGAATTCCATCGCCAATTGATACAGTTTTCACAAGGTGTAATTGTAATGGAAAAACTTTTTTCTTTAAGGTAAAAAATAACTCCAATTGAAGTTCTCCTCCATTGCTCACTTGCTGAAAAGGACAGATCATACAGCAAAATAATGTAGTATTTAATACAGTTAATAATCACTGGAATATAACACAGGTATTTTACTCAAATTGGGTCCCAGGTGCTCAAACTGAGATTTGACAGCCTTTGTACTGGTGTTGTAAATTAAGGTTTTAAGCATGTAGCACGGGCCATTTGGACCTTCGTGTTGGCTTTTTGAAAGAACCATCCAATTGGTTTCATTCCCTTTTTGTGAATTTATTATCGCTAGACAATTAATCCAGAGACCCAGGTAATGTTCTGGGGACCTGAATTCAAATCCCACCATGATGGATGATGGAATTTGAATTCAATAAAGATAAACTGGAATTAGAAGTCTAATCATGAAACCGTTGCCAATTGTCGGTAAAACCCACCTGGTTCACAAATGTCATTTAGGAAAGGAGACTGCGGTCCTTACATGTGACTGGCTTACATGTGACTCCAAACCCACAGAAATGTGGTTGCCTCTTAACTGCCCTCTGGGCAATCCGGTATGGACAATAAATGCTGGCTGAACCAGCAATGCCCACATTCTGTGAATGAATTTTTTAAAAAAAAATCAAGCTTTCTTTAATAGATGCGTACAGTTCTTTATTGCTTTCTTTAATGGATTTGTATAGTTCTTTCTAAGTTACTATTTAGCTGGCTTCCACTACACTCTGTCAATGCATTCCAGGCCAAGTTCTTTAACACTGATGACCAAGTGCTGGATATAGCCTACTTAATGCAATTAATTCTAAAAGTGCAGTTCACAAGCCCAACAAAAATCTTATTTGGGTAGCAAGCAGGCTAGAACGGCATTCTAAATGCATACAATTAATGGCCTACAAACACTTTTCGGGGGAGGGGGGTGGAAACTATGTTGGCATTTACTATGTATGTGTTAAATAAACTCCCTGCATTTGAATATCTGCAGAGTAAGCAGCTAGAAGTAAATGTAAAGTGATTCTACTACAGAATAATAGTGGAAAAATAACAATGGTAAAAAGAGCAAGTAACACTTCCCTAGTAGTGACCATCTGTTGTCAACGGAAACATTGACAATTACATTAGAAACTCCCAGACAATCGGTCAAAAGGTTTTAAAGTTAAAGTCTTGACATTTTGAAAGAGGGAATGCAGATTTTTACATCATAGATAGGCCAGCTGAGTCTTTGTTTAAAAAGTATTTGCCATGTCAGAACTTCAACACAATACCCTGAGGTACATGCATGTACAAAGCATCTCCACTTGCTTCAGTTAAGATCAGGAAAAATGACTGGTGTCATTGTGGATCTTCAGAGAGGAGGAAAATTTTCTTCTTTATATACATACCTGGAAATGGTTGATCTGTTTGGGGTGGGGGACAGAGGGACAGCAAGCAAGTGAGAGAGCGAGAGAGAGAGCGCGAGAACAAACTATAGAGAAATCACACATGCAAAACATCAGTTAAGTCTCGATATCAACTATCAATTCAGATAGCATGACAGTGAAAAGTAAAGGAGAGGATACGTTTCTAAAGTTTGTAGAAATTAACTTTTTTGATGGGCATGCTTTTGGTCCAAGGAACAAGACATTGCTGGAAGGATCGGATGCTGTGGAACACAGTGGGCTAAAGTCTCAAGTGGAGGCAATTAAATTATCACAGTATCATAAAAAGGTCCAGAAGACAGTTCACCAATTTTAGACTATAAACTCTTGTCTCACTTTTTCCTTTGCTTCAGTTTATCTTTCAGTGAGCAGCATATCCGCTTAAAGTACATCTTCTACATATAATCTTGTTTCGTCTGCGTTTTCTTTGGCACTGGAGGTTTAACATTTTTGTTATTTGATCTGTCCTGTCTTCCACACTATCACAGGCCTAACTTTTGTTCTTGTCGCATCCAACTCTTGGTTGAAACCTATTACTTCTCCAACTTTTCCAAATTCTGTTCAAAAATCAGGCCTGAAACATGAACACTCACTCTCTCTATACAGATGCTACCTAACCTGCTGAGCATTTTTCTAGGATGGCTGTCATTTCAGATTTCCACCATCTGAAGTATGCTGCTATTCAATGCTAATTTATATATTGCTTTAAGTTGCTTCAAGAACATTACATAAATTTTACCATTCTTGCTTGATTGCAGGGTGAACAGTACTGGCGATTTCAGAATGGAGTCATGGACAGAGGTTATCCTCGATTGATAACAAGTGGTTTCTCAGGATTAAATGGAAAAATAAGGGCAGCTCTTTCAGTTGCTGCACACAAAAACAGACCTGAAACAGTGTATTTCTTCAAAAATGGTAACTTCATTTTCTGATACTACTTTTATGACAGGAAACTGACTCCCAAAGTGATAAACACGGATTGCTCAATGCAAAGTATCCACACACTCAAATGCTGGCTACACATCAGATATACTTCGCAAACACCCAATCTTGAGTAATGGCACAATTCAGAAACATCTCACGACTGCAGTTTTTTCTTAAATGCAGAATGAGCGTGTAACCTTGCAAGTATCTTTGGTAACCAAGGTACATTGTTATTCCAGGTGGACGATACCAGAAATACGTGTATCAAAGAGCCTCCAAAACTTGTACACTACGCACTGGTGCCTACGTTAATTCCATAATAAGGCGACGCTTCAAACGGAAAACACTTGTTATAAAGACTATTAGATCACAAAAGTCAGATATAACTTTAAGCCATGAATCAGGTAAGAATCATGGAACAGGCAGGTTTTAAATCAAGTATTACATTACAATATCTGTTGAACTAGAGCTCAGAAAACTAAAGTTCAAGAAGTATGTGTTAATCATTTGGATCTTTTCCTCATGGGCAAAATTAAATATATTCATGGAATGGAGAAGCAGTAAACATTTTTTATTTAGAAGAAAATTAAATTGGCATGTTAATGACCATATAAAATAGTAAATTGCAAAATTCTAACTTGTTCTCGACAATACTTGGTAAGCCACTGGCAGAGTTGGTTTTACAAAATGTGAACACCCAGAACGTGAGATTGGTAAAATTTCCACATACTGGAGCAATTTCTCCAGAAAGCATATGAAAATAATCATCCCTCCTAGTTAGTTTATGCAGTCATTGGATAATAACTTTGAAGTGGCTTGATAATTATAATCAGAGTATAGGTCACTGGTACTTCTTTCAAAGGAGGCTTTGATACATGCAGCTGAATCAGAGAACCGTTATGGTGCAGGAGGCCAAATGAAGCTCAGGATTCAGGGTTAACATCTGGAGCTTTTCATTTCACTGACAACAGAAAAGATACTCACCTGCAGTACAAAATTGAAATAATCTGCCAAATTAGAGTGCTTGTTCTCAGACAGCAATTCTGCAATCATCACTTATTAGCTCTGAATGTCAAATACATTTGTAGCATCTATGTGTAAATCATGCAATGTTCAAAGTTGACCAAGCTCAGATGAACTATACCATTGATGACATGTCTGCCATTTAGGAAACTAGGGCCTTGTCTTTCTTGAAATGGGCTGTGACTAAATGAGTCTCATGGTGGTGTAACTAATTTCTGCAGTTGGTCAGAAATTTTACATGCAATCCCAAGGTCTCAAGACCTACCAAACACCATCTCCAATATCCTTGTACTGCAGAGACTGAGAACACTGATTTGAAGGTATTTCTGTAAGACCATACTCTAATTGTCTTTTAATAGTGATTCATACTTCTCATTTCTAAATTTCTAATCTCACCCATGAGTGGGGGCAACCTGAAGGGAAGAATTCTGCAGTTATAGAGCACCAAATCAAATACTCTCTGTGCCACAGTATGCAGTACCTGATAAAAAAAATGCACAAACCACTTTTCATCTACATAGTAATTTCAGCACTTTAGATAAATAAGTTTACTTTATGATTTTATTTTGGACAATATTCTTTATGAACTTTCTTCCAGTGCAACTTTCTGTAGAAATGTCAATTAGAAAAAATTGGCAAGGATTTCCTTTAAGAATCACTTCTGCCATCTCGTTTCCTAAGCCTGAGCGTGCTGAAAAATATGAGTACTTTGTTCTTTCTGGTGGTAAGTTTCAGCCTAATTTATTCTTATGGATGTCACAGTTAATAAAGTATTAAAAAGGTAAGGCAACTGTAGGTGGTTTGGTCAATTTTCCAAACCATTAGATTACATCTGCAAATCAAATTGCAAATACAGGTCCAGTATTTAATAAGGGAATGGGAGGGAGAAAACAAGTAGCTGCAGACCGGTCTGTTTACCTCAAACCATAGAGGCAGAGTAAATTACACAAATTGGAGCAGCAAGTCACAAAACAGTAGATTGAATGGTCAAAACATATTGCAAACAAAGCATATCAATGAGAGACCATTCACTCTGAAGCAGAGAATGACACATCAGAACATGTTTTTCAGGAGACTATAAACAGGGGAAAGCAACAGCATTTAACAATCCATGTAAACAAAACAAAGTTAGTGCACAGGTACAAAAAATTTATTAAAAATGCTAACAGCAAAGTGGACATTTATCGCAAGAGTATAGAATTCACAAATGAACAATTAAGGAACTGATGCTTCAGTTTTACAGAGATTAAACCGACTGCAAGGAAGACAGCTTGAGACAACAGTGTGCTGCCAATTCACCAGAATACCTCCAGGGCATAAATCATGAAATTAGAACAGAAGTTTGCATAAACAGGATTTGTACTCCACATTGAGTTTAGAAGGTTGAGATGTTATCTAATTTAAGGATTAAATACAGGTAATCCAGAATTTTAAAAAATTGGAGTTGGTAACTTTTCTACTTAAAAGGAAGTGAAAATCTGGCTGTGGGTGCCTGGGCAATTGCAATTTAAGAACAATAAATATGTATTTGATAGGTTAAGGTTTTAAGAACGATGTGGTAAGAACAGATAAATGGAGTTTGTGTACAGGTTCAATGAGCATGTTCAAAGGACTGTGTCAACATGGTCAACCATCCCAAGAAAAGATAGTTTGCAATAATCTGAACAAAAAGGAAAACCTGTGTATAGCAGTTGATAATAAATGAAACTGCCACAGAAACTGGTGTAAACCAAGTGATTTTTTTCACTACTGGCTACAGTAGTTTTAATTATCAAATTAGTTTATTCTCAAATGTTCACGAGTACAGTGAAAAGGTTACACATCGCTATGTACAGTGCCATCTTAGGTACAGCGGTACCTAGGTACAGAATCTTGGGTAAAAAGCAGAAAAATAATGAAAACAAAGTCTAAAAAGTTAAACATTACAGTCGTTATTACTTAAAAGTGGAAAAATCAAAGAAACACAGTTAACAGTTCAACAACAGTCCATAAGCACTTGAGCATGCTGGCCTCAATCTCCTCTGCAACTTACCACCCTGGACCGCCTGCTCCTGCCCCAACTGGCCCTACCCAAGCTGCCCGCTCCCACCGCTGGCCCCTCCTGGGCTGCCCACTCCCGCTGCTAGTACTGCTTCGAACGTCAAAGAGACTGCAATGTTGCCGTCTGTCAAAACCTCTGCCAAGGCACACCAGCCACCTTGTGACCAGTAGCCAAAGCCCCTAGCTGCTGCCTACACAATTGAACTCCCTCCAGAAGTTAAAGTAGAGAAAAAAAAAACTAAAAAAGAGCAAAAGCGAGAAAAGAAAGTACAGCAATTGGACTAGAAGGGCTCTGGTTCAGCCCTCCACTGCTATCTTAGACTTCAATAAGCATCCAATTTAAAACAACACAATTGCTTGTAGTGGTCTAGGTCAGATAATTCATGATCTGAAGTCTCGGCATTTTATTGATATGCCATAATTAAAGTATAAGCATCTCCTTTCTAGTAGTTCTTTTTGTTCAAATTAGAGGGAACACCTTAATTTAATTTTAAGTAAAATGCTGTTTGACATCTTCCACTCACTTGATTCTTCTCTATTTAGATAAGTACTACACCGTTGATCCTGTTAAGCAGAAAGTCACTGATACAAGAAGAAGTGTAACGAAGGATTTGTATGGATGTGATTAACCAAAGAAAAATTCACGTTTCAACACAGCACAAAAGGAAATCATTTTATTTTTCAATGAGAAGATTACATTGTGACAAGTACCCACAAACGTATGAAGTTGAGAAATTTTAGTTCTATTGTAACAAGCCGAACCAATGACCCATACGCTTCATGGGTATATTTCCTCAGTTATGATTTCCTCCTCTGTTTATTCCTCTTCCTGACACTGAATGACTCATACCTATAAATAAGAAACATGAAAGTAATAAATGGAAGCTGTTGAAACAGTCAACCTAAAAGTATACTTCTGCTTTCCTAAATTTGTATTGATATCAAGAGATTAATGTAAATTTAGAGAGCATGCAACATTCTTCCAAAGTTTTGGTTGCTGTTCCTGCACTTGACTGCAAAAGAAAATGCAATGGCATATGCTGTTTTTACTACCCAAATAAAACCAGTTCAACTAGTAAATCTTAAAATTAGGATTTAGACAGGAATTGAAAATTCTACTTATTTTAATTCAAATTCTGTCTTAGGATATTCAATTCTAGAAACAAAAAACATAATCAGAAGACAACAAAAATCTAAAACCCAGTCCTGGAAGTTGGCAAATTTAAGTCAGAATGAATTTGGGTTCAAGTTACCTACTGAACCAAATAGCAAGCACAGATCAATTCAAAGGACTTCAAAAGTAATGTTTGGATGTGGGTCGCAGAAACTAGAGAAATGTAGGCTTACAAAGCAAGAGGATATGGCAGCAAGACAGGGTAGCTACTTGGGTAATGATAGCCAAAGCGGGTCAGAGTGAACAGATGTAGAAAAACAGCAGAAAATATGGGCAAAGGGGGAACAAATGATGAAAAGGTAAAATTAATGGCTGTAACCTTGAATGCAGTTAGTAATCAGAATATAAAAAAAGTGACTTAAATGCTACAAAAAGGTTCATGGATATGATCCTACTTCCATTACAGAGACATAGTCACAAGGAGATTAAAGCAGGAAAAGAAATATTCAGGAATGAGACACTTTTTGAAAGGACAAGGGAAAGGTGGTTGAGCAGCATTTTTAATATAGGAGAGAATAAAGTATATTAGCAAGAAGTGATCTTGGATTGGAAGTTACACAGTCCACGTGTGTGGAGGTAAAAAATAAAAAAGGGGAAGATGACATTTCCCTAAACAGTAACAATACGGTGGAACAAAGAATAAGTCAAGAAATGAGGGCATGTAAAAAAGGCAATACATTAATCACAGATGAGTTTAATCTTTACAAAAGATTAAGGTAGTTAGTTTGGCAGAGGTAGTCCTAACAAAAAATTCACTGTGTATTTGGGACCATATCAGAGAACAAAACATTATGGATCCAACTTGGACTCAGGATATTTCGCTCTGATAATGTGGAATGAGGCCAGTTTAATAAATTGTCAGAGTAAAAGATCATCTAGGAAATAGTGATCGTAATGTGGTAAAATTTAGCATCAGTGAGAGGACTGGGGAAGGAATTCAGAAGCAAACACTTGAGGAACAATGGAAAATGTTTCAGAAGATAGTTCATGGCTCACAGCAAACATATATCCCAGTGAGAAAGGAAGATTCTAGAAAAAAAAAGTTAGCCACCATGGGTAATTAGGCAAGTTAAGGATAGCATCAAATTGAAAAACAAAAAACATTCAATATGGCAAAATTAGTGATAAGTCAGAGGATAGGAAATGTTTTGTGAACAAAAATGACCAAAAGAAATAATGGAGAAAAGAAAATGGCAGGTAAACTTGGAAAAAATATCAAGAGCTTCTTTAAATATATAAAAATGCAGAGAAAGTCCAAATTTAACATAAGCCCCTTAGAGAATGAAGCTGCTGAAATAGTGAGGAGCCAAGAAATGGAGGAGTTGAATAACTACTTTGTATCAGTCTTCACAGCAGAACACACTAACATAGCATTCCAAAATTACTAAATAATAAGGGGCAAAAGAGAAGTGAAGAAATAAATACAATAAATATCACCAGAAAAAAAAAAGTGCGAGGGAAGCTATTGGGGCCAAAGACTGATAAGACTCCTGGACCTGATGGGGTGCATCAGAGGATATTAGAAACAGTAGCTGTAGGACTAATGGATGCGTTGGTAGTAAATCTCCCAAGAATCCTTTGATTCTGTACAAGTCCCAAAGAATTAGACAACTGCCAACATAACACTTTTATTTAAAAAAGGAAGGAGATAAAGAACAAGGAGCTAGAGGCCAGTTATATTAATGTCCGTTATTGAGAAAAAATTAGCATCTATTATAAAGGATGTAGTAACAGAGCAATTATAAAACATATAATCAACAAGAGTTAGCATGGCTTCACGATGCGGGAAAAAAAAAATCATGCCTGACAAACTTATTAGAATTTTTGAATAGTTAACAGGCAGAGTGGATAAAGGGTAAGCAGTGAATCTATATATTTGGATTGTCAAAAGGAAATGTTAAGCTACTTAATAACAGCCCATGGTATTTGGGGGTAGTATATTAGCATGAATAAAGTACTGGCTAAATACTGAACAACAGTTGTGAGGCAAGGAAATTTTCACTTTTTTTTCCCTCCACATTACTGTCCTTTTTGTTTCCTCCTCCAGACCATATCGGAGAACTGGAAATCACTGCTTTCTTCTTCCCTGAAAACAGTTTCAAATACATTGCTTGCACTGTGCCTTCTGTCACCAGTGTAGAATCCTCCTTTCCTATGTTTACCATTCTCTTTTGTAAAGTTCTTTTTTCCATTATATCCACCACTTGACTTGTAATGCAGAATAAGACTTTTTCCAAACTTGCATGTAATGAAAATTGAAGAGGGTCTTACCTCTTCGGCTAATAAACTGACGCCCTCGAGCAACAGTTCTCCCCATCTGTGGATAAAGTCGGACTCTTCTCAACGGTTTTGGCTGACTGACACTGGCATCTACCAGAAGATGTAATTAATAAACACAAACATACCATTACTTAACAGTGCACCCATGTCCAAGGATTATTGCTGTTATGGCTGGCTATCAAAGCTCGATTACTGCTAAACCACTCCATTATAGATAGAAGAGGTCAATTTTTACAATGATATCTACTCGCCTGTTACATTAGATAGTTTTCTTTTTCTAAAACAAGATACTAAGTTCATACAGGAAATGAAAACCTTATGTTATTAGAGAAAAGTGGGTGACCACATACTGATGTGATACCAAGACACACAACACCTAAAGTTATAACGGTCTTACACACCAATCCAATTCTGTATTGTATTTCAAATGAACTGGAGTGTGCAAACAGGAGGGGAGCTTAAACATGACCAACATTCAGAGAAATGACCTTTGATGCAAGTGTGCTGGAAACTTCAATATATAAAAATGGCCCGAGCCAGCCTGCATTTGAGCATTCATAAACTGGGGCAATGTTATAAATTTATTTTTTTGTTTACATATATATTTATTGTGTGTGTGTGTGGGGGTGGTGTGTGTGGTGGGTGGTGTGTATTACACACACACCACACACGAAAGAGAAAGAAAGAACGAGAGTGCGAGAGAGCAGCTTTACATTCCACATTAAAGATGTACAGGTTGCTCTCTCATTAATTTGTTAAAGCATTTTGTGATACATCACTGCATTAATGCACCACTGTTGGTACTAATCAAGCACAAGGCTTACTGCATTGAGAGAGTGTATGCTTGCAGATATCACAAGTGACAAAATCACTAGTGCACTTTCAAATTGCATACCTGCTGAACTAGAAGGAGGATCCTGGCTAGTGGATGGTAGATCTGCCTCTTCAGATTGCTGAACAGATTCTTCCTCCTGATGCCCTTCAATTTCCAACATCACATCTGAACCAAGACTGAACAAATAAGAGATGTTTAATTTATCAACTAATAACCTCTTGGGGCTGAAAACCTTCTCAATTAGTTACCAGGAGAAAACAATTAGGTTTTCATAATTATGAAAACCTGTCTCTCATACATAAAAGCTCTCTTTTAAAACAAAAATAGAGAATTGAACTGCCAAACTTTGCTATTGAATTGAGCTTTTTTAAAGCTCCTGTTAATTTTCAACATACCAATGGATCGATGGCAGATGCAAGTCATTCACACCCTCTATAGACCAAGTGTAAAGAATGATAAAAATATGCAAGACACATTCCAGGTCACTGGTTTTATCTAAACTATCAATTACATAACGGTATAAATTACAGCCCCTTCCTTGTAGGGATAAAAAGCCTCATGTTAATGTAAAACTGAATATACAATATAAAATACAAGGGTAAAATCATCATAGTGCTACAAGACAATAGCCCTGCTCTCAGAGATACAACTGGTGTGGTTTAAGTTGAGGGTCACCAGCTAGTCAATCCCTGATATAGAATACATATAAAAAGACAGACTAAATGGGAAAAAGTGGTCCAAGCTAGTGATTAACAATTTAATTTAATGAAATATAATTTCATAATCTTACCTCCATTTTCATTGTTTAAAAATGAATAATTATAACAATAAAGGCTGGAAAAGTCAATTAACAATATATTTACATGTTTTCCTTAATAAAGGAGTATAGATTGAGAGGCATTTGGCTTTTATCTTACCCTTCTTGGTCTGCCCCTTCCACAAACACTTCATCTCCATCATCACCACCTCCAGAATCTGCAGTGCTCGACAGGCCTCCAGTGGATGTTGTAACCATGGGAACAGACTGAGAAGCATGTTCAGTTACATCTGATTGTGCACCCTCATTGAAAACTGTGACTGAAAGAAATCAAAGTAGCAAAACTTTATTTACCCAAGCAAGCTGAAATTTCAGTATAACAGTGAAGTGTTACAAGTAACCAACATCTGTTAAATGAGAGAAAGTAGCATTCTATGAATGGAAACTGTAGGGGATACAGCTTCTCCACACATTAAAAAAACAAGACTATGTTTTGCACAAAGAGAGTGAAGCTCCTACATATGTTTACATAGTCAGAACCACATCCAGCATTTCAATTCAATGAATTATATTTTAAACATAA